AGGGTGGGGTAAGATGAGGCTAGACCCAGCAACCTTCTGAGATTTCATGACTTCTCTAGCAAGGTAGAAAGCCTTTCTTTCTTCAAAGGACCCTGTTTTCTAGTGTATAGCAGAGCCTTTGGGCGGACAGATGGCATTAAACATTCATAATCATTTTAGGGTTTGTGGCACATAGTTTGTTTAATCCAGATTGGATACATCAGGTACAGCAGTGGCACATGACTCAGTACTGTAAATGATATACATGTTTTAACATATGCACTACAGTTTCAAAAGAAGACGACAGGAAACTCAAAAGTTTTTTTCCGTAGAAAGGTTTCACACGTTTATCTTCCTGCAGTTTTGTACAGTATTTCTTCTTTGCCATTGTGATATTGATAAGCAAAGCCCATTTATTATACGAAAATAGAAAAGAACACACTTGATGTTTTCACGATAACATTAATGGGGGGGTGAGCTCTAAGGAAAACATTACATTGGAATGTCTTGATTATCAAAAATATACCATCCCTCCCACCTCCTAGGTTTGTAAAATAGTCCATTGGTCCAAGGAGCCCCTTCTCCCCCGAAGACTTGGGTCAGTGCCCTACACTGGGTAGAGTGACATCAGCCAGTGCAGGTAAGTAACCTGCTAAGATAAACATCCCCACACTTGATGAGAAAAAACAACATTCTGAATAGAAAAGATTCAAAAGGAACCCTTTAAAGCTATTTCTTTTCATTATAGCCATTTTCTCTTAGTTCTTATGATGTTCTTCATGATGCTATTTGGGCTCCAAGGGTCGCAAGTCACAATGTTTTCCCTTCATCTAGTCATTTTAAAGCTTTGCAAATGATGAGATTTCATAAGGAAATCAAAAAGGGAAAGTAAAAGTCTTTCAGGTTCCTATTTGTCCTGGTTACCGTGCCAACTAGTTTGGAAGGGAAACTAATATTGCCTTAGGTTAAAACATCATTGGACTCTTTCTGCCTTGTAGTTACCTGGTAGTTGAAATAAGGGAGCCTGGACCACTGGAATTCATTAATAACCTCAAAATCTAGGAATAGCTCAATTTCAACCACTACCTCTGCAAAGTCTGAAAACAGACAAGGAAAAAAAAAATCTAGGTACCTAATGTTTCAGTGTACACTTTTCCTTGCTTCTATACTAATAAGTAAGTGACATGATCCTGAACCCCAGGAATCATACTTTGAAAACTGGATAAAGTCCTTAGCATATCCATGAGTGGACTTGGTGAGTCATGGGTCAGCATTAACCATCCGCTTTAACTTCTATTGAAATTCTTTGTCTTCCTTAATTTCGTTTTCCTACTTGCTGGCGTGACTGTGACTTAACGTATTCAACTGTCATTGAGAACATCTGTCTTTGAACAGGATTCTATGCAGGTAGTCCTGAGCTTGACACTAGTTACGAAAGTAGGGGGTGAGGGAGCGGGTAGAGGATGAGGGAGAGGTAGGGGATGAGGGAGAGGTAGGGGATGGGGGTGAGGGAATGCAGTTAGTCCTGAGCTTGACACTAGTTATGAAAATAGTTCGCTTCTGGAGGTCCTGCTTAAGGGTTCTGAAGGAAATGCTTCCTTCCTGTAATCGCCACCCTTGAGATCCAGGTGTGTAAGTAATGGAACATGATGTGGAGGAAAAATTCCAGGACAAAATATCTAAGCCCTGGATTGCAATCATAGTTCTGCTCCTAACTTGCCATAAAGTGACTTTGGATAAATCACTCAGCTTCTTCCTGCCTATTTTTCCTCTTATGAATCAGGGTTTATAGTTCCTTGACCTGCTACCACCAGAGGTTATAATAAAGAGGACAAAGAATTTGAAGGACTATAAAAGCTATGCTTTTCAAATGTCACATTGACCTAGCCCTATCTCCATAGAGAGAAGATAGTATTTGACTGAAAAAGCCCAACTGTTCATTTGCTAAGTTATTTTTGACAGAGTTGAGAGTCTGTAGCTGATTCTAGCCAGGGAGTGGTGGTTTCCAAAGTATGGTTTGGTTTAGCACAATCTGGTGGTTTCCAAGGGCTCTGTCCAAGTAGCACTGACCTTTACTGAAGACTATGCCTCTAATTATAGCACGTGCTCTTTGATGGATCTCAGAAGCGTCACTGCTCGCAGAGGTAGTGGGTGCAGTGGAGAAGCATCAGTCTAACAGCCATGAGACTTGTGTTCTGGTCCCAGCTCTGTCTTTAAGCTCTGACCTTGAGCAAGTCACTTAATTTCTCTGGGCCTCAGCTTTCTACATTGGCAATTGAACTAGATATTCTTTCATCTTTTCTAGTTCCCATATACTCTTGATAAGCTGTGAAGTTGGTTTTGGTTTTTTTTTTAACCCTCTTTAGTGCTGAGTGGGATTCAGTGGAATAGGTGGTTTTGGGAATCTTCAGTTGTGCCGAAGTGATCGTCATACCAGGTAGCCGCTGTCCCCAGGAAACCTTCATGTCCTGGTTTGTCATCTATTCACCGATGAGTTAGACTTAACTACACCAATTAACTAAACAAATAGTATTCTAGCACACTTTGGCCCACTTGTTTACTTGCATATGCCTTTTAGCAACGTAGTCTGGCATATTCTAATGCAATTGAAATTGAATATTAAATTTCCTGGGTTGACACCCTCCATTGGACCAGGGTTGAGCTGGTAGTTTTTCCTGGCCAAGGCTACACTGGGGCTAGGGATGAAGATTATCTATTAGTTTTTTAGCAACTGGCATAATGTGAGCTTTGGATATGAAATCAAAGGGATACAAAACATTCAGTTCATCGGGGTCAAAAGAACGTAGTCTATTGTGTGGGACGTGATTTTAAAGATGTGCTCATTCATTGTTATGGGAACCACTGATATGCTTTCTTGGTGCACCATCAAATAGGTCCTGCAGTGGATCAGTGACTATTCTAACTCTACTATTCTAACTCTTTATGTGCATGAAGCCACATTCCTATTCATCTCATTCCCTGCCCCACTCAGACCTTGTGATGTATAATTTAAGATACTTTGACCTTCCCATCTTGGTTCCAATACACACCTTTTGAGAGAAACGTTCCTTTTCTAGTCCTTTGCCCCTCCTCCAAATGGAGTCCATCCCAGCCCTCTGTCTTCCCTAGTGAGATACGTGTACAGAGTGAATGGATTAGAAATTGTTCTCAGATTCGTTTAGGTTGGTTGTGTGTACACACATATTCCTTTGTAGTTATAAAGCTTTTCTGCCCATGTAGACATAGTCTCAAACGGCCGGAAAAAACCCATCCCCAGGTTAGGGGGAAATCCTTGAGGCCACACCCAGGGAGAGAACTCAGTCAGTGGTCAGTGTGGATAAACACAAGGAGATAAAGATAGAAGATTTCCTCTCCTCTGCCCTTCTGCCCACCTTCAGGTTAGATGCCATCGCATCTCCTTTGGGCCTCCCGCTCCTATAAGGTCAACAGAGCTGGGCTCATAGTGAAGTCCACAAAAGGTGGTTTTAGGTTCTTGGCTAATAAAACTCTTCTAGCTGGTGGGCAGAGAATTCTGGGCCTACAGTGGAACAGCTAACCACTAAGCCGCAGAGTGGGGAAGGAGCTTGCGAGTCTTAGAGCCCAGGGCAGAGAGATCGAAGTAGGAGGCTGGGAGTTGGGGAGGGCAGGAGAGGGTTTGTCACTAACCTTGAGGCCCATCTGCTCTGCTGTAAGCAGTGGAAATGGATCGGAGGATGCCACAAATGCTGTTCCCAGCCCACCAGGGTGCAAGCCACTGGAATAGGATCATTTTCCAGGTTCTCCAGAAATAACATCCACTCCCTTCACTTGTACAGAGGTGATCAGGCTTCTCCCCCATTTTCACCATCTTCAGGCACATCAGGCCTGAAGACTCTTCAGACCTCAAGGCATCTAAGAATCGCCTAGAATTTCTTGCTTTCACACTTTGGAGCATCCTTCGTGAGGCACCCAGCCTTCGCCTTCTGCAGCCTCTGCGCGGGAGCTGCCTCAGGCGCGGGAAGTCAGAAGCTCGGTTCCCACGCCAGCGCCATCTCCGTAGGAAACTGTTTGTGGGGCCCCTCAGCAGAGCTCTGGATGGGTTTTGTGGTGGGTCCCGAAAGGGGGACAGAGCAAGAGGCCACAGGGGCCGGCCGCAGCTGTGATTCCAGCGCTTCTGCTCCCCTCTCTGGCACACCAGCCGCGGCGGCGCTTCTCAGGTGTTGGCTGCTTCCATTTTCAAGATCCCAGTGTGACCAATCCAGTCATACCCTTTCCTCCCCAGAAACCGAAACTGCAGACATCAGTGCTTCCAACCACCAAGGAAGCCCTTTGTTCTAGAAGGTGGACTTCCTTCATCCCTAATCTCTCCCCGTTTTTGCTTTCCACAAGTGCATTCCCACAGTGTAAATGCCAGGCGAGTCTGCCGGGGCCTGGCCTTCCTCGCTCTCAGGATCACTGAGGCTCATGTGGAGACACATGGAGACAGAGAAACAGCCGGGTGAAGCAGAGAGGGACAGAGACGCAGAGACAGGACAGACAGACAAAGAGGGTAAGGATTGCTGTGTGGTCACCTGGCAGCTTTGTGAAGGTCAACTGCGCAGTGGGGCCCGGCTCAGTTGCCCTCACCCACCTGGGGAACTGGAAAGAGAACTCAGTACCTGACTTCTTGGCCTAAAAGCTTTTGCTAAAAAAGGAAAAAAAAAAAAAAAAAAAAAAAACCCTCACAAAATGCATTGTTTTGGTTCAAAGGTATCGGGTCCATGGAGAAAAACATTTCACAAAAATCCATTGGTGTTTTTGTTTTCCACCTTTTCCCATGAATAAATATTATCCATTAAGAGCCTTGAAAAAGGTGCTTAAATACACAGTGTTATATTTTCTTCCTGTTTTGCATGTGACAACTCGGCCTCTGTGCTGCTCTCGGTCTGGTATTTTCCTCACTGGGGTGTCCAGAAACAACTGATATTTGGTCTGAGGCCCCCTCCAGGCCTGTCCTGGCACGCAGCCTTCTATCCCCCGCGTCCCATCCCCTGCCCCCCACCCTCCCTTCTCTGCCCAGTGAGCTGCAGTATCACAGGGCTCAGTCCACGCCCGCAGCAGTGAAGCTCAGGTGCCCTCTGCTGCCTCTTTTTCCTTCCAGGCACAGGTTTCAGTGCTAGGGGTGCAATGGGGGCAGGCAGAAATAGTGGGGGAAGGGGGCGGGAGTGGTCCCAATGGCCACCCACCAACATGCCAGCCCCCCTCACGCCCACTACCCACACTGGCCCTCTGTCCAGTGCTTTTACAAGGCAGAGACCTTGACCACGTTGCTGGCTATGGAAGGAATGTTCGTATTGGGGCCTGGGCTGGCAGGGGGTGGCCGGCTCTCCCCCTCTGGGGTTAGCACTGGGGGGGTAGGGATGCTGATGATGGCTGTGGTGATCTGGGATGTTTTGCAGTTTGGTCTCAGTCCGTCGTCTGCTTTCAGATTAAGGCTGGAACGACTAAGATAAAAAAAAAAAAGAGTCGATGTGAGCCGCTGGCAATCCTCTTGGCCTGGGTGCCTAAGCTTCCTGGCCTGCCTGTGGTAGTCAGCCATCCTGATTGTTATTCCTCAACTACCCGCCAGTGACCGCTGCAAGGTCATGTCGATTAGGGCGCTGGAATTCGTGAGGATACACCTTCTCCCCCGGGGATTTCACCTATTTCCTGGCATTTGGCATTTGCTTTCTCTAAATCCCTTGCCTCTTACTGGAAGTAGCGGAGGTGGTCTCCAAGCAGAGAAGCCAGGGGAAGTCGGTCTGGGACAACCATATGTGACACGGCCGTGGAAGTTATATCCTTGAGAAAATGTTTGGTCTATTCTTTGCACCAGGGAGATCCATTTGGGGAATTTTCCCCTGGTATCTCGCCCCACAGTGGGCCTGCTACAGTGGCCTTCAAAAATGGGAAGGGTCTTTGGGTTCCTTGCTGGGGTGAGAAGGAAGCTGGGGGGAAGTGGTGTGCTAGAACTCATGTGTCAGATAAGGGGGAGGGAGGCCTCGAGGACTGATGGGGTCTCCTAATGCTGAGGTTTGTTTAATTCTGGGAATGCCTCAAGCCTTTGGGGTCCGGGGAGGGAAGCCACCCACCTGGTCGTGAGGGAGGGCTGCTCGCTGCCCTGGATGTGGATCGTGCTGAGCTCTTGCATGCTGCGCAGGCGGGTGGCTGGCAGGTTCGACTTGGGCAGGTGTGTGGTTTTCTTACTGCGACGGGAGCAGCAGGTGGTGGTGAGGCCTGGGTGGCTGGACAGGGACGGACTCCTGGTGGACGGGTAGTTCTGCATTGAGCTCTCCATGCAGTTCTGCTCAAACATCTGCTCGTCAATAAACTCGTGGTTCTGTGGGGAGCAGAAGGAGAGGTAGGAAAAGGAGAAGGGAGGAGGGGCTGAGCCCCCACACTGTGTGGCTGCCTGACCCTGCGCTGGGCCTTGAGAGAAGGGCTGCCAGCTGCCTGGGGCACAGATAAGCATTCAGAAGGGGCAGTGCACCACGGCACCGAGAGAGGAAAGAGTCCCATGGGCATCCCTGGACATCAGGTTGCCGGGCAGGACAACAGTTGTTAAATTGTAACATCATGTCCACTCCGGCTACAGCTTTGAGCTGAAAGGGTGACAGAGGACTCGAGGGGGTTCAGTGGCATCATCAGGGCCAGACGCAAAGACTTTACTTTGCACGGGATCTCTGGGACTGTCCTGTAGGGAGTCACTGGTGATGGGTGGCAAGTAGGGTAGGGAGTCCTCCCTGGATTTATGGGTGAGACCCTATAAATCTTGGGCGAGGGTGAGTCATACATTTTCAAAGGTGCTGGATTGTTCGTTGAACTGGGAGAGCTTTGCTGGGGTCAAATGATCAGGGATGTGATTTATTGTTTTGTTTCCCCACCCCCACTGATTGTGGGACACGGATCCTTAATATGCCCGGAGACATGGAATTCCCTAAGTCAAGTGTAAGCCTGGCGGGGGACTGTTAAGAGCTTTCTGACTGGATGCCATGAGGGTGGGGTGGAACCGAACCCAGAATAGGAAAAGAATGGCCGCTTGGCCAAGGCTACTTAAGAATCTACGCGTTAGCGGTCCGGCCAAGGCTGTGAGAGTGGGGAGAAGGTCTGCAAAGAGGAGCATGGAAACTGTCAGAGAGAGACCAGCCCCGGCAGCCAACCCCCGGAGCCCCCGTGGAGCTGGGGAGGCCAGGCAGTGGGGAGCGTGGACACTCAGGATCCCAGGCCGGTGCCATGTCCCACCACCCCCTCCGAGCCCCTGGGGAGGTCTGAGAAGGAATCAGAAAGGCAGTTGCGTAGTTCAGCACACACAAAACTGGAAGGCTGAGCTGGTACTAGGCGTGACAGCGAGGTGGGGTAAGCCCGGGAGAACCAACAGCACATGCAGAGGGTCAGACCGGGGACTAAAAAGAGAGGCATCCACAGACTCAGAAGAACCAGAGAGAACAACAGTAATTGAATTTTTAAAAAGTTATACCTTGATGGTGGAGGTTCGTACAGATAACAGGGGATCATCCACAAGATAGGACAACCCCTACGGGACAACATGCCAACAGAAGATAAAAACACCATTGATTGTACATTCCGGCATTCCCGAGCTCGGCGTGACATTCAGTGTCTCCATCCCAGCATTCCAGCCCCTTCTCCCGGCCCCACGGTCCACCCCTGGCTCGACTCCATCCAACCCAACGTTCGGTCTCCTCCCTCCCGACATTGCTCCCCTAAAGCCCAGCATTCCAGCGAACCCCAGCACCACCGGGACCGACATTCCTCCCTGGAGCTCCGCATTCCACCCCCTGGGCGCCAGCATTCCGGCCCTCCAGTCCCAAATTCCATTTCTCCAATGCCAACATTCCAGCCCTCCCACCCCGGGGTTTCCACCATGTCCTTTCCACGGACGCATTCCACGTAGCACGTGCAACTTGGAAAGGGCAGTCGGGCCTGGGTCTCCCCTTTGGCAAGCTCGGAGTCGCTGAGGGAAATCCTAGACATGCACGCGCGGGGCTGGGCTCGGAGCAGGAGCTGATCGATCCTGGAAACGATCGTTTCCACTTTGGAAATTCTCATTAGCTTCAACTCCATCCACGCGGCCACATCTGGCTCAGCTTAGGCGTCGTCTAATGTCTATTCCTCAGCAGCTGGGAGGACAGGGTAGGAACGTGCAGAAAGTTCCTTCTTTCATGCGCTGAGCCCGACTGCAGGCTCACTGGGGGGGGGGAGGGGGGGAGTCTCTAGGAAGCTCCAGGAGAGGGTTTCGCTTTGGTTCCCCTCCCTCCTTACTGCTCCTCACACTTTTTGCCAAAGGGTCTGGGGCTGGCCCTACTGCCCTTCCTTCGCCTGATGGAGAGGCACAAGCATCATGCCGCGGCAGCCATGGCGCCCCACACCACGGCTGTTCTGACAATCTGCCTTTCAGAGTCTGGACTCCCTGGGGATTGCAGGGCGCCTGGGAGGGGGCGGTGCCGGCAGAACCCCCGGCTGCAGGAGCAGGTGCGCTGCCTCCGTCCCTCACTCGCTCCAGTTCTAAGGGAGCGCAGCGAGCAGGGGAGCCCACAGATGTGCCAGCCTAGCCCCCGGGCAGGCCGCAGACGGCAGCTCTTTCTACTCTGCTGTGGAATCTAGCGCAGGCTCCGCCCTGGTTTGGAAAGGGGACCCCCTAGATTGAGACACTGATAGGCAGCGCCCCAGCCCTCAGCCCCTGGGAAAAGGCGCTAGAGACCGTGTAGGGGTGTGTGGGGAGAACTCAGGGTACCAGCCCCACGGCCCAGAGCTGGCCCCCAGCCTGGTGATCTCCCCCGCGGCGGCCTCCTGAGGGCTGCTGGACACCTCACCTCTGCTGTTCCACGCGAAGGGGGCATGTTTCTGAAGCAGGGCCCAGGCGAGGGTGTGAGCGCCGGGGCTCACTGAGTGTGACCCTGAGGCCGGGTCTGGCCAGGGGCGAGGAGGGAGGTGGTCACGGGCAGGGACTCACAGTGGTTTTTTCCAGGCAGTGCAGCAGGTGATGGTGCTGGCTCTCGATGAGTGAGGTGGTCTTGCCCATCTGCTCCTCTTCCGGGGTACCCTAGTAAGCAAAGGCCAGACTGAGACAGAGCGGGAGGGTCCTCCTCTCTCCAGCTCTTCGTTTTCCACAGAAGGTAGGAAGACACCCGAAAACCTGAATGAGCCAAGTTTTAGGGGCACTAGATACCGTATTAGCTTTCAGCCAGAAGGCCCTAGTGTTGATGATCCTGTGGGAGACATAGGCGGGGGCTTTCACCACGGGAACATTTGAAACATACCCTTCTCACCGTGCAAACTGGGCTCCGGGATGGGAGCGCTGGTGCCCGCGTAAGAGAAAACAGACCTTCCTTTCTCTCCTGCCCCAGCCCAGGGCCCTCCTCAACCTCCTGCCCCAGCCCAGGCCCCTCCTCAACCTCCTGCCCCAGCCCAGGCCCTTCCTCAACCTCCTGCCCCAGCCCAGGCCCCCTCCTCAACCTCCTGCCCCAGCCCAGGCCCCTCCTCAACCTCCTGCCCCAGCCCAGGCCCCTCCTCAACCTCCTGCCCCAGCCCAGGGCCCCCTCCTCAACCTCCTGCCCCAGCCCAGGCCCCTCCTCAACCTCCTGCCCCAGCCCAGGCCCCTCCTCAACCTCCTGCCCCAGCCCAGGCCCCTCCTCAACCTCCTGCCCGAGCCCAGGCCCCCTCCTCAACCTCCTGCCCCAGCCCAGGCCCCTCCTCAACCTCCTGCCCCAGCCCAGGCCCCTCCTCAACCTCCTGCCCCAGCCCAGGGCCCCCTCCTCAACCTCCTGCCCCAGCCCAGGCCCCCTCCTCAACCTCCTGCCCCAGCCCAGGCCCCCTCCTCAACCTCCTGCCCCAGCCCAGGCCCCCTCCTCAACCCCCTGCCCAGCCCAGGGCCCTCCTCAACCTCCTGCCCCAGCCCAGGCCCCCTCCTCAACCTCCTGCCCCAGCCCAGGGCCCCTTCCTCAACCTCCTGCCCCAGCCCAGGCCCCTCCTCAACCTCCTGCCCCAGCCCAGGCCCCTCCTCAACCTCCTGCCCCCCCAGGGCCCCTTCCTCAACCTCCTGCCCCAGCCCAGGCCCCTCCTCAACCTCCTGCCCCAGCCCAGGCCCCTCCTCAACCTCCTGCCCGAGCCCAGGCCCCTCCTCAACCTCCTGCCCCAGCCCAGGCCCCCTCCTCAACCTCCTGCCCCAGCCCAGGCCCCTCCTCAACCTCCTGCCCCAGCCCAGGCCCTCCTCAACCTCCTGCCCCAGCCCAGGCCCTCCTCAACCTCCTGCCCCAGCCCAGGCCCCTCCTCAACCTCCTGCCCCAGCCCAGGCCCTCCTGAACCTCCTGCCCCAGCCCAGGCCCCCTCCTCAACCTCCTGCCCCAGCCCAGGCCCCTCCTCAACCTCCTGCCCCAGCCCAGGCCCCTCCTCAACCTCCTGCCCCAGCCCAGGCCCCTCCTCAACCTCCTGCCCGAGCCCAGGCCCCCTCCTCAACCTCCTGCCCCAGCCCAGGGCCCCCTCCTCAACCTCCTGCCCCAGCCCAGGCCCCTCCTCAACCTCCTGCCCCAGCCCAGGCCCCTCCTCAACCTCCTGCCCCAGCCCAGGCCCCTCCTCAACCTCCTGCCCCAGCCCAGGCCCCTCCTCAACCTCCTGCCCCAGCCCAGGGCCCCCTCCTCAACCTCCTGCCCCAGCCCAGGCCCCCTCCTCAACCTCCTGCCCCAGCCCAGGCCCCCTCCTCAACCTCCTGCCCCAGCCCAGGCCCCCTCCTCAACCTCCTGCCCCAGCCCAGGCCCCCTCCTCAACCTCCTGCCCCAGCCCAGGCCCCTCCTCAACCTCCTGCCCCAGCCCAGGGCCCTCCTCAACCTCCTGCCCCAGCCCAGGCCCCTCCTCAACCTCCTGCCCCAGCCCAGGCCCCCTCCTCAACCTCCTGCCCCAGCCCAGGCCCCCTCCTCAACCCCTGCCCAGCCCAGGCCCCTCCTCAACCTCCTGCCCCAGCCCAGGCCCCTCCTCAACCTCCTGCCCCAGCCCAGGCCCCCTCCTCAACCTCCTGCCCCAGCCCAGGCCCCTCCTCAACCTCCTGCCCCAGCCCAGGCCCCTCCTCAACCTCCTGCCCCAGCCCAGGCCCCTCCTCAACCTCCTGCCCCAGCCCAGGTCCCCTTCCTCAACCTCCTGCCCCAGCCCAGGCCCCTCCTCAACCTCCTGCCCCAGCCCAGGCCCCCTCCTCAACCTCCTGCCCCAGCCCAGGGCCCTCCTCAACCTCCTGCCCCAGCCCAGGCCCCTCCTCAACCTCCTGCCCCAGCCCAGGGCCCTCCTGAACCTCCTGCCCCAGCCCAGGGCCCTCCTGAACCTCCTGCCCGAGCCCAGGCCCCCTCCTCAACCTCCTGCCCCAGCCCAGGCCCCTCCTCAACCTCCTGCCCCAGCCCAGGGCCCTCCTCAACCTCCTGCCCCAGCCCAGGCCCCTCCTCAACCTCCTGCCCCAGCCCAGGCCCCTCCTCAACCTCCTGCCCCAGCCCAGGCCCCGACACTACCATCAGCTCCAGCGCCTCGTTGAGGAGTCCGTTGCGCTTGCTGTGCAGGTAGGCGTTGGAGCTGCCGGTCTTGGCCACACGGATCCGGGCAAGGCGGGCCTTCTGTGGGTGGCAGGGGTAAGAAGGGTGAGGGAGACCGAGGCGCGAAAAAGACAGGAAGGCCTCAAAGCCTGCAGTGGTGGGCCGTCCCCGTGGGGTGTGTTCCCAGGGCACGTGTGATGAAGGGGTTCCCCTGCTTCCTCCCAGCCTCGTGGATCTCTGTTTAGGGACCTCGGGGCTGGGTCTGAGAGGCTGTGAACCCCCGTTGGGCAGCGTGGTCACGTCAGAGTTTCTAGGGATTTCCACGCATCTCTCCAGCCGGGCTGTAACCCAGGCAGGAGAACTGCAGCTCGCCAGAGTCCTCCCTCCTCCCGACAGCCTTGGGCCCTTTATCTGCTCCGTGTCCTGTTGGAGCGGTTCTTGGCTCTAAGCCCCTGTGAGGGTCTCCTGACCCAGGGCCCAGCAGGACTCTGCACGCGGCAGGTGCCCACATCTCGTGCCCACATCTGGGTCAACCAGGAGGAGAGTGAGGAGTGGTTCCTCTTCAGCACTTCTCACTAAGGTGTTCTGTGCCTGCTCACCCTGCTACGGCCCCCTCACCCCTGAACCCCTTGAGGGCAGGGGTGGGTTTGCCAGATTTAGAGGGCAGGGGTGGGTTTGCTCATGGATATGCCCTTGGTGCCTGGTAATTTTTAAATTAAAAATGACAATTGCCTGTCTCTCTGGGAGTGGATTCATGCACAGCCCTGTCAGTGTATGTCTATTTTTTCTTTTTTTTTTTTTAAGATTTATTTATTTATGGTCACAAGAGCTGAGGTACAGGCCAGAGATTGTGGGGGAGTGAGAGGATTCATCAGAGACAGAGTGGGGAACAGAACAGGCAGACTGACTGAAATACACTGCTGAGGGGAGCAGAGGGGAGACAGGAGAGGTCTGCTGTGCCATGTGGGTTGCTCCCTGGCTGGCCGGGGATCAAATTCATGCTGCAGAGGCTACGGATTGCTTCATAGTGCAGTGCTTAAGCCCTTGCGCCACCAGGGAGGCCCTCCTTTTTTTTAAGATTTATTTATTTATTTATTATACATACAAGAGCTGTGGTGCAAGCCAGAGATGTGGGGGGTGAGAGGACTCACCAGAGACAGAGTGGGGAGCAGAACAGGCAGATCCACTGAAATACGCTGCTGAGGGGAGCAGCGGGCGAGTCAGGAGAGGTCTGCTGTGCCATGTGGGTAGCTCCCTGGCCGGGGATTAAACTCATGCTGTGTGGCTGCAGATTGCTTCATAGTCCTGAGACTTAACCCTTTGAGCCACGAGGGAGGCCCAGTGCATGCGCATCTTATGGTGGGTGCACATCCCTGGGATGAGCCAGTCGTGTGTGCACATGACGGGGCCTCAACGTGTAAGAGGCAGCTTCTTGCGCCGCTTTGGCCCTGACTAGGAAGGGAGAAGCCCCAGCCGGACCTGGGGGACTGCGGGGCTCCTGCAGGGGCGGGCACCAGCTCCCAATACAAGCGCCACCCGCTTGTGGGGGCAGGGGAGAGGCTGGAGGCTCACACAGGCCGACTGCTCTTCTTCCTAATAACCTTAATGAGCGTCGCCATGACGGCAGCACAGACCCAGAGTGAAGCCTGGGCAGGCGTCTTGGGAGAGGCAGAAAGGACGGGCTGGAGGGGTTCTTGCTCCTTTAAAGACATGCAACTTGAGGTCTGGGCTCTAAATCTAGACCCTCTGCAGGTCCTTGCTCCTGGGAACAGAACCGGCTGCCCTCGCCTCCTGGTGCAGGGGTCCCTCCTCCGGGTGTTGGGGAAGGAACCCTTGCGAGCACTCTGGGGAGAAGAGATGGGGGAGATTGTGGCAGTTTTCCTTTGCTGTTACCCGCCCCACGCACGGGCAAGATCCCCTTGAGAGCCTGTGGCAGGTTAACCTGACGAGAGGAGACCAGGGACGCAGGGACACGATCTCCATGGCCAGCTCGTGCTTGCAGGCCAGTTCAGCTCCCGGCCTGGACTTCTAAACGGGGGAAGAAGCCAGGACTCGGTGCTGGAAGAGCTGCCTGCGAATCTGAGGAGGAGCGATCCCTCCCGGGCAGAACCCGCAGGGGAGGCTGGGTCCCATCCTTCCACTTCTTGAGCAAAGAGCATCCACTCGAGGTCCAGAATGATTCTCCTCTGGGGGTCCTGCTGCAACCCCCCTTCTCCCCCAGCTAGATGTCTACATCCAAGCAAGGCCCTGGTCGCTGGAGGACGCTGGCTGTTTTGCTGTGGGTGAGAGCTGGGTGTTGAGAACTGTATATGGAAATCCAATTGTGTCAAACTCATTAGAGCCTTATATAATTTGATTGCACCACTTAGAGCCAGACCTTTCTCGTATCTGGGGTCTGTCTTCATTACTTTCCAGAGATGAAAGATTCTCCTGCTCTCCTTTGTGGCACTTCTTTTAATCTTATCTTACCCTGGGCTCTATTAAAGCAACAGATTGTCATATCAAATGCACTGTATCGTTTAATCATTTCCTACACAGGATAAAGAGGTTTGCAATATATATATGGAACCACACCGGGCATATGAAATTTGGTGAGGAGTCTTGGCTTGACTTTGAGCTCCCAAAGGCCACAGTCAGTGGCTTATGCATATATATATTTAAAGACTTATTTATTTATGCATACAAGAACTGGGGTGCAGGTCAGAGGTGTCTGTGTGCGTGTGGGGGGTGAGAGGATTCACCAGAGACAGAGTGGGGAGCAGAACAGGCAGATGGACTGAAATACACTGCTGAGGGGAGCAGCGGGCGAAACAGGAGAGGTCTGCTCTGCCATGTGGGTCAGCATCCTGGCCGGGGATCAAACTCATGTTGCAGTGGCTGGCAATATCTTGATAATGCTGAGACTTTAACCCCTGTGTTACCAGGGAGGCCCAATTATGCATATTTTTTATCTCCAGTAGCTGGCACAGAGCCTTACAGTGAGTGAGGGCTCCATCCATGATGTTCGTAGCAACTTCATGTATAATAATCCCAAACTGCAACCATCCAAGTGAATGGTTAAACAGACTCTGTGCATCCTACCATGGGATCCTGCTGTCCAGTAAAGAGCATGGCATGAGGGAGGCACACAATTTGGATGCATGTCCAGCAGCCACATGGAATGAGAATGCCCATCTCCAAAGTCTCCCCATTGTATGAGTCCACTATATACAACATTTTGAAATGAGGACATTTTATAAATGAAGGCCAGATCAACAGCTGCCAGGCACTAGGCCTGGAGCGGAGGCGCTAGGGCAGGAGGGGGTATGGAACTACTCAGCCTCTTGACTCTGGTGGTGGATGCAGCAATAACAGGTGATAGAGTTAAGTAAAATTTTCCATGAAAAAGTTTTATTATTGTGCATTATTATATGTAGCATATATTTTGGAGCTAGCTTTCATGTACGTAGGCACCAGAATGGAGATGGGGACCAAATCCCCCACCCCAAAGTCCCCTTCTGTCTGTCCACAGCTAGAAGTCCTTTCCTGATCTCCGTGCACTTGGGCCAGAGAACACATATGCTAAAGAAAAGAGCCCTGGAGGCACCTCGGTAATAATCCCAAGCGAACTAGTCACAGCGGCAGAGGCCGAGGACTTCTTACTGAGCTTTTCCCTCACCCAGGGGGGTGGGCTGGAGCTTACCTTTGTGGCTAGACAGGTCCTGCCTATGAGGTCTGAGCGACCTCTGGTTTCCCTGGCCTTCCCCTCCCACCCCTCTGAGTCCTGGGCCCTGCCTGCCTTGCCTGGAAGAGAGAGATTCCGAGCTGAAGCAAGGAGTTTTCCTGTGTATATTTTTTCTCCCTTCTCACAGGAAGCCCAAGGTGAAACAGACAGGGCTGAGCAACCTTGAGGAGAGGCAGAATCCAGGCTAGGTGAAAACACTGTAAATATTTACACTGATTTCAAAGGGAGAGTGAAGAGGGAGAGGGAGGAAGGGCAGACAGCTGCGGGATGGAGGGAGCCTCATCTTTACGGAAGGAATAGGCCAAAGCTGATGCCTTCTGGGTCTTTTTTATTTTTTAATTTTTTTTACAATGGAAAGCCATTTCATTTTTCCCTAGACAAATTTCCTTCTGGGTGTTAATCACACGGGATGAACTTTGCAAAGCCCCAGGAGGAAGGAGCACTGTTGTATTCTTTGCAGGGGCATGAGCACTGCTGAGGTAAGGTCCTGCAGGAGCTGCATCCAGCCCAGCCTGGTGGGGCTCTGCCGTGGGCACAGCTTTAGGCTCCTGTAGTTGCTAAGCATCCCTTTGAAGCTCATCTGCTCTGTGCAGAACCAGAGTCAGCCTGAGCCCCTGAGGGCGGTGTTGTTCCAGGACCTCTGGCGCCCCAGGGCCTCATGCTCCTTGATTTGGAAAGAAGACCCTGGCTCCGCCCCCCTTTCTTCAGGGCTGCATAATGAATTCAGATATTGCTCATGTTTGCCAGCTGACTTGAATAGGGAGAGAGATAAGACTTTTATTTAGGGATGGCCTGCAGGGAATGGGGGTGGGGAACCCTGACCTTGGGTGAGAGGTAGGATAGAGGTGCTGGAGGGGAGAGAGAGGGGCACCCCCCAGAAGATAAGTCTTCAGAGAGGCTGGCAACATAAAAGACCCAGGGTGCTGGGAGGCAGGCAGGGACACGGAGCTGCTCTGCCCCCAAAGCCAGAGCTCTCTGTGCAGCGATGGTGGAGGAGGCCTAGGCCTGGCCACTCGAGCGACGGCTGCCCAGGAGAAAGGCCCCGCTCCAGGCCCCGCTCTGGAGCTGCCGCCTCTGCGCCCGCGCCCGCGCCCGCGGCTTACCTTCTGTGCCCGCCGCTTGTCAGCTCTCTGATTCTGGTGGTAAATGCGGCTGAAGTTGGAAACGATCACAGGGACCGGGAGGGCGATGACCAGGACGCCGCTCAGGGAGCAGATGGAGCCGAAGATCTTCCCGGCGATGGTCTTGGGCACCATGTCTCCATAGCTGAGAGGGAGACAAACAGGTGTGAGGAGCGGGGCCCGGGGGAAGCTGGCCAGGCTGCCCTGGTCGCCCGCCTGTGCGGCACTCCCTCGGCCACCAAGGCTGTGACACACCGGGGAGAGAATCAAGTAGGCAAGAGCCTTAGGCCGTGGAGCCAACAGCCTGCAGGGGCAGGCCCAAAGATGAGCAAGTTCATAGAAACACTGGGACTTGGTTGTTTCCATGGAGAGAGGGGAACAGGGGCTGGGCCAGGTGGGCTGGAGGCGGCCAGGAAAGGCGTCTTGAGGAGGTGACACTGGAGCTGAGATCTGAGGTCAAAGGGTCCCGTCAGGAAAACCCTTGGGGAGGAGTGTGCCAGGCAGCGGGAGCTGAAAGCAGGGCGCTGTGAGGGAGGAGGGAGCTGGGCACGTTCTTGGACAGTTACAGGGGCCGTTGGGAGCACGGCGAGGGAGGGGGATTTCACATTAGGAGGTTGGGGCGGGGGCAGGCAGGGGCCCCATCACACAATGCCCGTGAGGAGCCATGGAGAGTTTTATTTATTTTTACATATTTTTTGACATTTATTTTAGATGTTTAAAAAATTATTTTCTTATTGTTTATTTTTGTTTACTGTTGTTTATTGTTATTGTTATTGTTTATTTTGTTTATTGTTGTTATTTTGTTTACGATATTTGATTTCTCCCCTCAGGTGTAGTCCTCATAAATCTCCCCCCACCACATCACCTGTGAACCATCACCACAGGCCTTTGTGTTCTTTCCTCCCCTGTGCCGACCCCCCTCCTTCCCTCGCCCCTACTGGATGGCTCAGATCTATGGTTTGCCTGAAAGTTTTGTCTTTTTTGACACTTTGTTCGGTTCCCCTATATTCCTCCTATAAGTGAAATTATCTGATATTTTTCTTTTTCCTTCTGACTTATTTCGCTGAGCATAATCCCGTCCAGCTCCATCCATGTTGCTGCAAATAGCATGAGTTTATCTTTTTGATTGCTGAGTAATATTCCATGGTGTATAGGTAGCACATCTTCTTGATCCATGCATCTGTTCTTGGGCATTTAGGTTGTTTCCATTTCTTGGCTATTGTAAATAGTGCTGCAATAAACACAGGAGTGCTGGTTTCCTTTTGAATGAATGTTTTTGTGTCCTTTGGGTAGATTCCTAGGAGTGAAATCGCTGGGTCATATGGTAGACTCATTTTCAGTAATCTGAGGAACCCCCACACAGCTTTCCATAGTGACTGGACCAGTTTGCGTTCCCACCAGCAGTGTAGGAGGGTTCTTTTTTTTTTGGCCATGGAGAGTTTTAAGCAGAAGAGCAACACATCTAACTTATGCTAAACCCACTGTCTATTCCCGTGGAGATTTACAATCTACAAAGCACTTTTACATATTTACCTCATGTGAGCGCCACCAGGCCCGCGGGCTCCGTGCTCTCACCCCGTGTTGTGATGAAGGAGCCTCAGAGACATCGTGTGGCGGCCCATGCTCTGTTCAGCCAGGATTAAAATCCACTCCCCTATATTTTCTCCCTTTTCTACTAACCACGCTGTCTTGGAGGGAGACTGTGAACTCTGAAAATCAGTCCCTGAAGCCAGGAGGCCACTTTGGGATAGCGCTGGGTCCTCTCGGCGCCCAGGAAGCCTCTCCTAAGTACTTCACACCCGGGCAGCAGCCCCTGGGGCTGGCTTGGCCTGGCTCCCACCCAGCCAGGGCTGGCAGGCCAGAGCCTCTCTCCTCCAATCAATAAGACACTCTCCACAGCATTTAAGTGTTTAGTCTCCTCTTTATTGAGATAATTTAAAGGCCTTATTAAGCAACGACTGCCTTTGACCAAAGCCAGGCCATCTCGCTCCTCTCTATGCCCTCGGGGTGTTTGAGTGCAAAGAAGCTTAGTATGTCCAGGAATTGTTGCTGCTGAAATAGTGGGGCTCCCTTCACTAGTCCTGAGGCCACCCAGGAATCCTGGGGCTCCAGAGAGGATGTGGAAGGGGCTGGAATGAGTGGTCAGTAATATACGGGCCTCACTTCCTCAACCCCGAAGGGCTTTGTGGAGGACATGTCTGAGGTTGGCTGATTTGGTGAGTGAAGGAGTCATCTCTTTTAGGCCTCAGTGAGTAGGCTCCTGTTTTGAGATCTTCCTTCCTTCCCCTTCAGTGTCCAGACCCTTTTTCCTGACTCAAGCTTGCTCAGTCGTGCTACTGGCATTAAGGCCCATGATAGCGCCCCGGGGAATCTGTATCCAGGTTTGCCTCCTCCGCTGTGATGTGAGGCGTGGCCTCCGATGAAGCAGATGAGAACTTGGCTTCTAGAGTTAGACCATCTGGGTTCAAGACCCACCCAGCTCCACCATAAATAACTGTGTACCTTGGGCCTCTGTGTCCTTGTCTATAAAACGAAGAGAGTAAGAGTAACCTGTGTCCTACTCCTGTGCAGCTCTAGAGAGTTGCTCCATCAGCAGTGAATGCTCTTCCTGTGCCTAGGCAATTTGGAACCATGGTCTAGTTCTAAAAACACAGCAAACTGGCCCGAGTTAAAAAATCCCAGGCCTCTCTGGTGGCGCAAGGGATTAAGCACAGCACTGTGAAGCTGTCCACAGCCTCTGCAGCACGAGTTTGATCCCCCAGCCAACCAGGGAGCAACCCACATGGCATAGCAGACCTCTCCTGTCTCGCCTGCTGCTCCCCTCAGCAGTGTGTTTCAGTCTGCCTGCTCTGTTCCCCACTCTGTCTCTGGTGAATCCTCTGGCCTGTACCCCAGCTCTTGTATGCATAAATAAATAAATCTTAAAAAAAAATCCCAACAATGAAGAGAAGGGGCTTTTCACCCTGGAGGCAAATCGCGTCATCTGGGGTTTCCAGATGACATGTCTGAAAGGTGGACACCAGGCATGTGTCTGGGGAGAAAATAAAGCCTGGCAGGCGTGCGTGAGAACGGTGTCAGGAAGATGGCGTTTCAGAGTGAGGGAGGCTGGTGAAAATGCCAAGGACGACAGAAAGGCTGTTTTATCCACCAGAAGCAAGAGCAAGGCGGGAAGATACGCCTCATGCCAGGGCAGAGAGTCTGCTGCTCACACATGACAGAGAAAACGGAGTTCTCTGTCTTCTCCACCGAGAAGGTGCCTCATCTTGGGGGGCTGGGACAAAGGCGAAGGCGGGTGAGAAGGAACCAGAGCTTCAGGTGGGGAGGCAGGTGCAGGTGAGGGCCCAGCTCTCTTACGTGGAGTCACATCACAGGTGACCCCACTGGATCCCAGCCCAGCGAGCCGGGGGAATGTGCAGAGGGGGCTGGAGAACCACTGCCCTGTTCTTAGGGAACGCGTGCTGCAGCTGAGAACTACCAAGAGACCAGAGAGAGGGGGCCTTCCTCGTGGCACAGGGGTTAAAGACAGCACTGTCAAGCTATCACCAGCCACTGTAGCATGAGTTCCATTCCCAGCAGGCCAATTAGATAACCACATGGCACAGCAGACCTCTCCTGTCTCGCCCGCTGCTCCCCTCAGCAGTGTATTTCAGTCAGTCTGCCTGTTCTGTTCCCTACTCTGTCTCTGGTGAATCCTCTCACCTCCCGCATCTCTGGCCTGTACCCCAGCTCTTGTATGCATAAATAAATAAATCCTTAAAAGGAGAGAGAGAGAGACCGGAGAGAGAAAACTGTTGTGCCGGCATTTTTAAAGAAGAGAAAGGAGGTCTAAGAAACCACAGACCAACAGGCTTAACATCGATCAATTCTGCCACCAAATTGCTGGCAGAATTCGAGAAGGGATTATTAAGCGACAGCTTGCGAACACTTGAAAAATAAGCTGTGTTGGCTCAGTAAGCACGCATCTTGTCAAATTGTCCTTATTTTTTTGTTTTGAGAGGGTTAACTGGCCGGTGGATCAGAGCTGGGTACACAGCCATTGCTCTGGGTTCCTGTCCCAGTTCCTTCTACCCTTGACAAGCTGGAGGAATGTGGCGTGAACACCAGTGTGTTCGCTACAATTCTAGGGTTGAAGTGTCATCTGTGGCCTTCGGGCACTTCAAAGATTCCCAACAGTGCTCCTAGGCCAGCCAAGGATAGAGGGTCCGCTTGGATGAAAGAGGAAATAAGTCAATAGAATAAAGAAGTGATCTAAAGTTAGGTCTCTGGTGGTACATTCCAGAATTTTGCAACTTACATAAGCCAGAGGGAGGCAGCATGGCCCAATGATTGAAAGAGACTGGAGTCCCATCCGTGGTTGAACCCTAGTCGTACTGGGTTACTAATTACTCAAGTGACCTTGGGAAGGTTATTTAACCTGAGCATCTATCAACATAACATTTGTTTCTATACTTAACTGACAGGGTTGTTGTGAAAATCGGTGTGTTTGGGTAAATGTAAATTCTCTATAAATAGCCAGTGCAGTGGGCATTGTTTTGTCTGCTAATAATCCCTCATCTGGGAAGTGCACCCCTCATGCCCCCTCCTGACAGGGACCGACCAGAGCAGCTGCTTCTCAGAGGAGCTGCCCCCGTCTTGCAAATGTGCCCCGTCCCCTGGTTCTCACTGTTTCCAGTGAGTGAGTCTGGACAGGGCATCGGACTCAAGTGGCATCAACCAGTCCTTTCCTGGATTCATTTTTTAACAGCTTTATTGAGATATGTTATTAAACATCAAATTCATCACTGAAATTGTACTATTCAATGGTTTTTTAAGTGTATTTCTCAAGTTGTGTTACCATCACTACGTTCTAACTTTAGAACATTTTCATCACCTCAGAAAGAAACCTTGTTCCCATTAACAGTCTATGACCGTTTCACACTCCACCCCTCAGCCCTGGACCATCGCTGATCTACTCTCTGTCCCTATAGATGTCCTCACTTTGAACACGTCCTATACATGGAATCATAGGACAAGTGGCCTTTTGTGTCTGACTTAGCACAGTGCACTCAGATCTCCGTGTAGTAGCAGCTTTCATACCCCATTCCTTTTCATGACTGAGTAATATTCCCTCGCGTGGATATACTGTATTTTGTTTATATGTTCTT